TGTGAAATGTAGAAACTTTTTGATGGATTGTGAACACAAACCTGAGTTCTGTCCATCTTGGCTTTTGATTGTGAAGAGGACTGAATCTTGGCCATGCCGTTTGCTGTAGGCAGGATCATTCCCTGTGTGAACTCTGTCGTTTAAAAAAAAGGAACAAAATAAGCTGAAATACAACTTTTAATAATCAGACTGAATAACAGCCTTTTACAAAAAGTCCTTTAAAATATAAAAATTCAGAGCGTTTAGTCTGACTTCTCTATTTATCGTTTCTGCTGTTTATCTTTAATATGGTAAGAGAAGTTAAATTCTCGTGCGCTTACTTTTTATTATCACATCATTTCAATTTGCTTTTGTTAAACTGTTTTATTTTTCCCAGACAGCCCTTATTAACTCATTTATTACACAGAGTCACTGTGTAAACCCCGACACTTTACACTGAGGAATTGAATTTAGTATGACCAGTTGTTCACAGCTGGTGGATCCGAATGTCCCCTGAATGTGACCGTTTTTCACTCGCCTGTTTTTAAGTAATCAACGTAGCTGGCCAGGGCTTTACGCATTTTATCTGCTCCCTCCGTCCTCATCAGGTGGGTCAGCGATGTTTCGGGTTCATCTTTATTCAGCGATACTGAAATCTGGAAGAAGGTGAAATTGGAGGGGTCACAACACCGCTCTACAAAACTTTTAAAATTCATGTAACTGAGTGCTCGTTGTTTGTGAAACTTACATCAAGATCCTCCATGTCGTTCTCGTCCGACAGGTTGGGAACTTCCACAGTTCCTTTATATTTCACTCCTGCTTTTGACGTTCCTGGTTAGACAGAGAGAATGCAGATGTTAGCAGAAGTTATTCCTTCCTCTTTTCTACAATCTTTATAATAAAAGGGGTTTCATCATCATCTGACAATTTTCTGAGTTTTTGTTATCGGACACATTTGACTGTCAAATTAGGTTTTTTTTCAGTAGCGTGCTACAGGATGCCGACGATACCGCCACATAAATGACCTTATTAAAAAAAAGAAAACAGGAATTTTGGTCAAAACAAAATCTACATCTGCCTCAATGTGTCCTCACCAGTCCAAGTAGCTTTCATGTTCCACTCATAGAAGAAAATCAGTTTCCCTTTGCGGTTGTTAATCGAGGCTTCTCCTTCCAACTTTCCGACTTCTGTCACCTCGCAGCTCCCCTCGTCGTTCTCGACGGTCAACCCGAGGACGAGGGATTTTAACTTGTCCGACGACCAGTTTGTTGCATCTCGTTCAGTCCTGAAAAAGCGCAGAAGAGACCGAGGAAATGAGAAAAGCAAATCCTAACAGGTAAACAACACAGAGTTGATTCTGATGGGGAATCAACCTGAGGAAGTTCAGAGTACATCAAGTCTGTGAATCAATACAGGTGCAGACCACAGCGTGCGCCTCTCTACGACCTCTCTTTTATGTCCAGGCGTGCAACAGTTTTTGATCTTTGCATATTTCTTTTGGAGAATGTAACTACAGTTTCTTGCCTATTACATTCTATTGTCTAGTGTTGTAGAACTCAAAATCAGGCTTGGTCCCAAGACTGAAACACTTTTTGAAGGTCTCATCTCGGGAATCGAGTGCATTTTTACTCAGCCTTGTCTCGGTCTCGGACTGGCGGGACTCTGGATTTCAAATCAAGACCAGTCGAGACCACAACTGATGTCCACGTCATTACAGTGATGAGAAAGAAAATGTCTCGTTCTAAAAGAACAAATCACTTCAATTCTTTTATAGTTTGATTTTCATCCCCCAGTTTAGGCCGAAACCTTCCTACTGTTATTGTCTAAGTGAGTGACACGCCCGCTGCACACAACATGATGATCTGTCATGGTTACTCGTGGTCTTGTCTCTGTTTCGCCCTGCCTGGGTCTGGACTCGGTCTGGATCCCTAAATGTCTTGGTCTCTGAGCACTGTCTTCAGCCACAAGAGTTCATCCCCACTACTTCAAAACAGATAAATTATCATTATTAAACACTAAAATATACTTGTTTTAAAATTCTTTATTGTAACTTATTGAACGTTTAAGTGTTGAGTGTTTAATTTTGATAACTACATGTGATGCAGATATAAAATCAATGAGTAATCATGTTTCATAATCGTGATCTCAACATTAATCAAACTAATAATTTAAATAATTTACACCATAATAATCAGGCAGCTTTGGTAACAGCGAAAAACTGTAATTTCAGATGGAGAGAAACACAAACAAACATCCTATAACTACATGTATAGTGTTATAACACCCAAACACGTGTGCAGCAACAGACAGTGTTGATGGCTAAAAAACTACAGTAAGCTACAGCAGCTAACTACAACGAAGCTAACTCGAACACGACTGTAATGTAAACCAATTTAGACCAGATAATTGTATCTTAACTCGTATATTTTGATTGAATTCATAGTTATTGTTGTAAATGAACATGTCTATGTCAATAATTGTTGATTATGCAGCTTTAAAACCCACAGAAAGCGGCTCTGGCTCATCACTGACTGACTGAATGGATGGTGTTAGCATTAGCAGGCTAGCTACCCGTCATCTCGTCTTACCAGTGCCAGTTGTTGACATTAGTCGCGTCGGCTCTCTCCTCCACGATCCATCGAGGGTCTCCTTCTCCCCACTTCGCCATTTGTCCGGCTAAATGGGTTTTAAAGTGTGAATGTGTCACGTTGTGATCGGTGGAGCTGGTTTTGCCGGTGACTGTCCCGGTGCACGTTGTTTCTAGAAGCCTCTAGCTGCTGCTGGTTGGTCTGGCGGTGCTCCTGCTTTAATCGTCCGGGTACAGAAAATGCTGGAAACGGAACGTTGTGGAACGCGATAGAAAAAAAAAAAGGAGTCCCGCTTAAGCGGAAGTTTCTGTCTGAAGAGTAGTTCCGCGTCGTAAGAAAGTGTTCCCAGTGAACTAAAAACTTATATATTAGCGGTGTGTTGTGAGTATTATTGGTAAAACGTCCTGTTATTTGTACTAACAAAAGGATACTGCTTTATCTCTGCTGTTTATGTTTCTGTATAGAATAGAATTACTTTATTGATCCCAAACTGGGAAATTGTGGCGTTACAGCAGCAGGTTATCCAAACACACAATATGAGCAAAAAACACAATATTAGCAAATCTAAACACAATATAATATTAACTACAAAGTAAATAATCAATAAAAATATCAAAACTAAGAATGGGAATATATACAACCAGGATTTAACTTAGCACTGTATGTCGTATTTACTTTTTTTGTGTTCACTTTTATTATTAATAGGCTATTGGGTACTTGTATAAAAACACTTTCTCTATTCACGATTATCTCTCTATATATTCTTATTATATATTTTTTTAAATTTTCCCTTAATGCGGAACTGCATTTGTAGTCGAAACTAGGAACAAATAAAATTACAAGAACTTCTCTTTTCTGAGTTTTCCGAGATTTTATAGATAACATACACTTGATTCCTTGAAAATGAAATAATCAGTCAGTTCCACCCATACAGACCGACAGCGTTTACATGTTTAACAGTTCACCACCGACAAACATGATTTACATAGCAGACAGTAAGAAGGGAAATGAGGGAGACACTGTTCTTCATTCAACAGCCTTTTCCACCTGCTGAAACTTTGGAGGAAAAATATGATTTTGTATATTGTTTACATTGTTCACAGGTGGGAAGAAAATAACCGCTCCATGTCTATGCATCACACGAGACTTTTAGGGCTTTCACACTTGCAGAAAACTCCTGATATTTCCAGGGGAATCTGTCTGAACTCAAACAGCCGAGTTTTCACGCTGACTTCACCCGGAGTGTCTCCTGCCAGCCCTCTAGTATTTGTTTTTGCAGCAAGTCCGAGTGAGCTGATGTGAGAACGCAGCAGGATATTATCCAGAGAGTTCACCTCGAGCCAATGGGAGGGGGGAGTGACATTTATATCCTATTATTGTTCTCCACTCTTTTGTTGATAGTGTGATTCCGATGAGCTACACGTATCATTGATATAAAGGGAAATATTCTCATCATGGGGTCTTATAGCGGACTCTGTTGCTTCGTTCAGTACTTCTGTGTCGTTGTTTTTCCGTCTCGTCTTACCTCAGGAGACCTTAATATGATTTTGATTAGTTTTACCTTATAAGTGCCGGACTAAGCAAAGCATATTAAGATCATAATTCATTTTCAACAACTTCCTAATTAACCACCAATAAGCAGTTATTAGGTAGTGACCTATTAGCTATAGATCGAGGCGCTGCTTGTCAACAGGCAAGGCAAGCAACTGCTGGGCTGACAAACTTTAAACCACACCAGGGGCTCAAAATGTGCAAATTTTGCATTGACAGTAGGAAACCTCCCTAAGGGGGCCCCATCTGACAGTACTCACTCTCATTGCACTACTAAGTTGCATTCATTAAAACCAAAGTTTGTCAAAGTCACACAAGAAAGAAGAGGAATTATCCAAGTGAAAAAAAAGAATGACATGGGGGGGGGGACCAAAAAAATGGACAGGGGGTCTTTATAAATGCTGATAATGATAACTATTATTTATAACATAAAGCTGGTTAGACGTTCCCCCTTGGGCTCCAACAGACTCTAGAATCGACGCTGGCCATAGACTATGGTCATGTAGAATAAGGTACTAATAAGCGCTCAATAATGACTCATCAGCAGCCGTACGCTACTAATTAGTATGCTAATAATCAACTATAGTTAATGGTGAATATTGTGAACTTGATTTAAAGTGTTTCCAGGAAATTCATCTCAGTTTGTGTCTTCCTCCTGAAGCTTCAGCTCTCATCTTTTTGACTTGTATTAGTGACAGATGAAAACACTCGTTTAATTATTCCTATTTCATATGAATCAATTCCACTGCCTTAATTAGCACCCTTTCCAGGTTTGGTGACAAAAATAATTATTGCACCAATAAGATCCGCTAAGAGATTCAATCATCGTTATTTCCTTTGGTTCAGCCCAACACAAGTCTTTTCAGAATTACAAAAACATTGTGAAACACATCATCAAGTGGAAAGCAGATTTATGTAATTACCAAGAGTGAATACAAAAACCCTCTCTGGCAGAGATAATGAGCATCACCAGCACACATAATCATCGATAATTACACCAATCTGGCTCAAAGGATGTGATGTGTGGTAGTTTTGGTATTAGAGAGAAGGAGAGAAATAACAAGACTGAAAAGACTCTGAATATAGCTGCTGAATATATCAGGAACTGAGAAGAAAAATAAAGAAGGAGATGAGAAACAAACTAGATTTTGACTGAAACTCAACTGGCCATCTACATTTTGAAATATTGATGTGAGAGTTACATAATTATAAGAACCTGCTGATTTGTGGTGTTAAAGGCCAAGACCGCGTTCTGACTTTATGCAACGTCTTATCAGTATAGGAACAAATCAAATTTAAGAGCAACAACCGTTAATATCAGCCTTACATCTATTATCACTGATGTAAAAATTAAAGTGAATCTTAGAGCTGCTCAACTTCAACTTCTGTAATCAACATAATCAGTCCTCCCTGTTTGATCATCATTACAGTCAGAAGCCCATTCCAAGTGTGTGTGTGTGTGTGTGTGTGTGTGTGTGTGTGTGTGTGTGTGTGTGTGTGTGTGTGTGGATGTGTGCATGGGGGGGGGGGGGGGGGGTGTCACCTTATATACTAATACCATAAACCATAACCAATAAAATATGCCCCCCCCCCCCCCCTTCATGGTTTAAGCCAAAAGTCCAAAACACATGTTGACAGGAAACAGAGTGTGGCTGTATAACGGCTTTGGAACATCAGTCCTCAATGTAACAAGTTACACATCATTTTTCACCTCATAAAGATATGAATAATCCCTAATTTGGAATGTTTTTTAATCCGCCTCACTAGCTAAAGTAAGTTATGACTTGTTAAAGAGTAGCACCCTGCGCAAATACGAGAGGCAGTCAGAGAAAGATTCTGCATAAATGTAACTTTGAATTGCAACCTGGGGACAAATAAAGTTCTTTGAATTGAATTAACTGAGGTTTCCTTAGACTGTCAGACTGATCAAGAAATAATACCCCTGATCTCTTGGATTATAAATGATGCATAATTATTCCCATTTTTTCCACCCCAGAAGGACCCCTTTATCCCCACCTTAGCCCCTTCACAAATGTGTCTTGCATGACGCCCCTGATTACAGTTGCTCCTGTTAATATTAGACTGATCAGTCTAGTGCCATACTTACTTGTTACTGCTTATAACTATCTTATGCACTGTTGTTGTTGCTCTGTTTGTCTCTATCTGACTTTATGAACATAGAAACACTTGTTGTAATTGTTGTACCTGTTCTACGCTGTGATTCCAAAACTTGTTTTAATCAAATTTAAGGCATCTACAGTCTCTTTAAGAGTCTATCTGAGGCTTTGTCTCTATATTTCTTCCTGCATCTCCCTCTATCCCACTTTCCAAGCCCATCACAAAATGAGTCTGGTTCTGCTCGAGGTTTCTGCCTCTTAAATCACGTTTATTCCTTACTGTAACTTTTCTAAATGTTGCTTAGTGCTCATGATGGATTAATGTTGGGTCTTTGTAGATGATATAACAAAGAGTTTGGTATTGTACCTTTTGGGAAGAGTCTTGAGATAACATTTGTTATGAATTGGATTTTCACCCTGATATTGACATCATGATACTGATAGTGATATTGCCATCAGTGTGAGTAGTATTCAGATGCTTTATGCAAAAGTACCAATACAATAATGTTACAACATTCAAAGTATTACCAGCAAATTGAAGTACAAAAAGGAAAGTATTAGTGCTTACTCTGCAGAAATACTGGCCTCTGTGGCCTCTAAATGTGCCATCTTTACTGACACATAAACATTGTAGCTTCACTACTGTTCCTCAGTTTTGTTCAGTAGTTTCCAAAAACCTCTGCAGGGTCATTAGATATATCTGCTAAAACAAATCTGTGAGCATTTTTTGACCATCTTTTCTTATCTTTTTTAAATATTTAAGAAATTGTGAAATCACACTTATTTTGACTCTACTCAGTCTCTTAAATGAAACCATCTGGACAGTTTGGAGGGAAAATCCCTCCAAGCACAACAGCTCGAAGACATCTGAAACACATCACAGGGCCCCGGATAGTCACAGCTCTTTGTAAACAGGCCTTCTGTTAAACAATGCATTTGTATGAGCTTATCCTCAGCTCTCAATTTCTTAATTTCAAGAAAGACATTCGGACGTTCGATATGGTTTAAGATTTAAACAAGGTGCTGATAAACTCAACTAAGTTGATCCAAAGTGCTGAGCAGCGCAGAAAAAAAAGGCTTAAGCTAGTAACAGACAAGAACAACAACAATCAAAATGAAAGAACAGGTAACAATTATCTCCAGTGTAACACAAAACTTTCAGAGCTCTGCCTCACTAAGCGTGACGGGTTATTGGAAATTGAAGGCAATTGAGTAGAAATGTGTTTTAAGGTGAGTCTTAAAAACACCAATAGTGGGTGAGAGACGGAGGTTGTGAGGTAGAGAATTCCACAATTTGGGTCCAGCAGTGTGTTTTCAGATGCTGTGAAGATGTCTTTGTTTGAAGCGTGTTGTAGTGTTGTAGTCAAGTCCACACAAACCGAGACCAAGACATACTCGAGACCAGAGTGTACCCTTGGCACCCTAACAGAAAGGTACCAAAAAAGTAGGACGGTACGGATCCCTTAGTTTGGTGCCATTCCCAACTTTTGACTGTGGAAACGCCAATAAATGGGTACCATACCGAACCAAACTGAACCGGATTGCTTGGTGGAAACGGGGCTCAA